ATAATTATTTATATAATAGCTACTAAAAATTTACATAATTGTTAACTTCAGGATCCATAAGATCAGTTGAGGCATGCGTAAACTAACCCAGACATCCACATTAATAATAATAAAAAAATTGCTAAACCCTCCTCTTTAATTATCATTTTAAATTATTTGATTCATATTTAATTTAGAAAAAAAATAGTATTAACTTTACTGGATTAGAAATAATATTCCATTAATAAGTAAAGAAATATCAAACAAATTGTTGAAGTAAAGTTCATTTATACATAGCAAAGACTTAGTAAGTCAATTAAGATAGAAAACATACTTAAATCAGACATAGAATATATATATATATATATATATATATATATATATTTGGATTATTTACATGATTTTACTAGTTATTCTTGATTTGTTGTAATAGATTTATTTAGCTATTATATAAATAGTTGATGTTTTATTTTTTAAAATAATTTTTAAAATAATTGAATTTTTTTACAATTAAAAATTATAATTTTATAAATTAAAACATTTTAATTTTTTTTGCTTTCTTGCAAATACCTTGCAATTAAATTAGTCAATGACAGTTTTTCTAATAATATACAGAGAAAAAACAAGGAATTTGAAATGGTAATTTCATGGTGGTTGCAACAACTGGATCCACGCGCTAACATTATCGATGCGGTGGAGACTCATGACATGTGGACAAGCTACAGTACTCCACTTGCTAAATGGCAGCATTGAAAAAACAAGATTGCTCGCAAGTGCTTTCAGAAACAATCAACATCAAGCCATGGTTCACGATAACACCATTTCTCAAGCGTGTACTGGAATTTTGCTGCAACAACTTGGTCCACGCGTTAACATTGTTCTGTCTTGAACCGTTTTTCTCCATGTGTTCTTTCCGTACGGCTTTATGTTTTAAAAATATTTAAAAAATATTATTTTTTATTTGTTTTAAATTAATATTTTTTAAATTATTTTAATACATTATGTTAAAAATAATTTTTAAAAAATAAAAATATATTATTTTAATATATTTCAAATAAAAATTCTTTAAAAAATAAGTTCAATCACACTTCTAAGTATACCTATATTAAAACAGTGTAAGATATGTTATTATTTATTGATTTAATTTGGTCCTTTGTTATTATTTATTAACATTATTGTGAGGTATTTTACCAAGCACAAAAGAGTCCTTAACTTTTGAATTTATGCAAAACAGTTACACTTTACTTTTTTAATTTTTAAATATTAAAAACATTATTCGATTGGTATTCTACGAAACTTCAAGAATATGTAAAAGTTATTCTATTATTAACATTTGAATGATACTGTTGTCTTGATGGATTTTTTGGTAATAGTATTTTAAAATACAGAGTTTGTCTTACCCGAATAATAATTTCTATTGAAGATGAGAAATTAATGTTGATTAAATTTCTATTTTATTTTTTATTCAATATTATAGGCTTTTCTATTTTTTCTATTTTTTAAAAAATAATTTTCTATATATTTGATATTGTCACTGATTCTCCATCCAGAGATAAAAGCAATCTGATACAGACCTACTAAGGATGGCAAAACAGCTTTGATTCTCCCAGCTAGAATCTTAGCGATGCATTTGTAAATGGTATTTCAGCAAGATATAGGAGCTAGTATCTGTGAACCTCGTAGGATTAGCAACTTTAGGAATAAGGGAAATAGATGTAGCATTCATTTCTTTAAGCATTCTCCGACTCTGAAAGAAGGAGCTAACAGTGTTGATTACATCTTCCCCAACTATGTGCCACATTCTTTTGAAGAAACCTGCGTTAAATCCATCCGGACCAGGGGCTTTGTTGTTCTTCAAACTAAACATAGCATGCTTAATCTCCTCCCTTGTTACATCTTGTGCTAATACATGTTGTTGCGTCGAAGACAGTTTCAAGTTAATTGTCGATTCCATATCTTCCTCATTTAGAACCCTAGGCATCTGTTCCACTCTTAACACACGCTGGAAGTACGCAATGACTTCTGATTTAACTGCCTCATGTCCTTCGACAACCTCTCCATCCTCCTTTGTAAGTGAAAGAAGTTTATTTCTATGCTGTCTTCCATTTACTGATTTGTGAAAGTAGCCAGTATTCTGATCCCCTAAGCCATTGTATCCTTACCTTTTTATATAAATTGTAGAAATAGACTTTGATATTTGATGATTTTAGTATAATAAGCTCCTGCCACAAACATTTCCCATCCTCCAAATTACAACGTGTTATTTAAGTTATTTATAGCATCTAATAGTTTTCTTGAGGACTCAAGTAGTGTAAAACGTTGAAACCAGGAGCATCATTAAGTGACATAAAAGTTCTCAAAAATAGTTGGAAAATATATGAAAAAAAAGAAAAAAAATGAACACTAATAAAGTAGAGAATTTGATAGAATTTTAATTTCTACTCAAAATTCGAGTAAAATCTCTGGTCAATGCAATTGTATTATCTTTGGCCCCTAGATTTACATATTGTTATCTTTGGTCTTTATTTTATTATTAATTTTAGTCCAAAGTTTTGATTAGAAAACTCAAAACTGTCCCTGGATTTACAATTCATACAAAAATTATTGATATTTAATTTAGAAAAAAAATATTGTTACCTTGAGCACAAATAATAGCTGTAAGATTATGGATGCAACAAGTTTTTGCTTAATTCATTGCACTCTTTACACCTATCCCTCTGGGATGACTGGACAGAAGGTGTCATAATAGTCAATGATTGGGCGTTGATGAAATCCTTTGATTAGAGTTAGGAGGTAAGAGTTGCCAGGTTCCATTTCGAATAAGAGCATTATATTCTTCTGACATGGCTTGATGCCATTTTGGATCTTTGAGTGCCTGTGCTCATGCCATGGGTTCAAGATCGAAATTCTTGGATAACAAGGTGTGAATATTCAGTTTTTGAAAAGGTTCATGAATGTTATTCTTAGCCCTTGTTTGCAGGGGATGGCTCGATTGGGTAGCTATTGGTAGGTTATTTGTGGTACTTATTTGATGTGTCTGGTTTTGGGTAATGGTTGTGTTGAGTGGAGAAGTTTCAGAGTCAAGGGTTGTAACGTGTGTGAGTGTTAGAGCTTCATTGCGGAGTTGCTGGTGAGGGCCACCTACAGATGGTGGTATGAGCATTGGAGTGACAGTGCTGAGTTTGATAATTGGTGGTAGACATGTAGAGACTGTGGATGATTCAGGTCGTTGAGCTTGTGTTAGAGTTGATTTAAAAGGGAAAATTGATTCAATAAACTTGACATGCCTTGAAACAAGATTTTTTAACGTTGATGGATCATAGTAGAGATAGGCACTTTGAGTTAGAGAATACCCAAACAAGATACATGGTTTAGAACGATGTTCCAATCTATGAGAGGTATAAGGACGAAGCCAAGAGTAGCAGAGACAACGAAAAACCTTGAGTTTGGAGTAATTGGGAGGTGAATCAAAGATTTTTTTGTAAGGAGAAAATATATTTAATGTTTGTGTTGGCATCCTATTAATTAAGTAGACTGATGTAGCAAATGCATATGGCCAATAACTTAAAGAAATGGAAGCATGAGAGAGGAGAGTAAGACCTGTTTTAACAATGTGGAGATGTCTCCGTTCAGAAAAACCATTTTGTTTAGGTGTGTGAGGTGGAGTTGTGAGGTGAAAGATATCATGAAACGTAAGAAGGTTAGCAAGCGCAATATACTCACCGTATTATTAGAGTATAATGTATGAATGTTTTGATTGAAAAGGTTAGCAAGCGCAATATACTCACTGTATTATTAGAGTATAATGTATGAATGTTTTGATTGAAGTGTCTTTTTGTAATGGCTTTGAATCTAAGAAATATGTCTTTTACTTGTGATTTTTGTTTTAAAGGATAAAGCCAGATATACGTATAATCAACAAAAAAGACACAATACTTAAAACCATCAGAAGACATAATTGGTGAAGTCCATACATTTGAAAAGATGATTTGAAGGGGGCGGGTGGAAGTAATTGTTGATTTGGAAAACGAAAGTTTGTAACTCTTATTGCAATGACATGCTATACAAGACAAATTTTAAACATTGGAAGAAGATAAACCAAGTTTGTTTTTAGAGATGACATGCTTTAGAATAGGAAGAGTAAGTGTTTTTGCCAGAGGAAGAGGTAGAGTGTGGCAAGTGACGTGAGCTAGTATAGGCACGGTTAGCTATGAGCAAAGACAGGAAAATAGGCTTGGACAGTATTATTGGTATTTTGCAGAGATGCTTCGAAGTTTAGAAGTTTTTCATGTAGCTCATAAAAGGAGATTGGAGTATCTCGAGCTTGTACTGCCCTAGCCAACTATTTGTATTCGGACCAAGTCCCTCAAGAATTCTTTCTAAGAGATCTTCAATATCAACTAGTTCTCCAAGAATGGCAAGCTCATCATCTCCAAGATTATGATATCAGCAAGAAACTAGAGCATGCATACAAGTTTTTAACCAACCAATTCATAGCAAAATCATCCATATATAAATGAATGCATTCACAAGACATTAAAATCTCCCATCATTCATATTGAATACATGAAGGGTTGCATTCATGAAAAAACTCCCTTTTTAAATGTCTATTTGAACTCAAAACCAATATAACAATAGATGAGTAAACTCACTTATCAATTTCAATCAACTCATTAAATCATAGATGAATACAAAAATATAAGGATTAAATATTATTTTCTAAGACTACAAGGTTAAATTAATTATTTTCTAAATTAGATTATTGTCATACGTTTCTGTAGGTTTGAGCGATGCAAGTTTGGTGTTTTAACAATGTTTATGTTTTTTTGTTTATTTAATTTTAGTCCCAAATAATGTTTATGTTTTTTTGTTTATTTAATTTTAGTCCCAAATAATGTTTATGTTTTTTTGTTTATTTAATTTTAGTCCCAAATAATGTTTATGTTTTTTTGTTTATTTAATTTTAGTCCCAAATAATGTTTATGTTTTTTTGTTTATTTAATTTTAGTCCCAAACAACCAAATTTATTATTAATTGGTGTTGATGCCCTGAAACTAATGACGAACTGGCAAGAAAAACAAAAGTTGTATATATTAAAAGAAAAAATGCAAAAAAATAGTAAAAACCATGCAATAATACATAGAAAGATTTTATAGTCAAAACTAGCAACGCTATACTTATTACACTAATTAAGAATGCTTTCAGAGCTTTCCTGTGTGTCGGTAATTTTCATCAATTATTTTAAATTGTAACATTAAATGGTAAAGCACCAACTCAAATACTATATCCCAATCAATAATCTCTTCCTAGAAAACCAATTTATTTCTAACTAACATCAAGGATTTTCATCTTTTCAAGTGAGGAAAAGAATGAAACAATATTCATTAAAATTTGTAACTTGAAAATATAAATTACATCATGGATAACAATTAACAACTAGGTTGTCCAATATAAAAGCAAATGGAAAAGATTCCAAAGAGCATTCAATAAAACTTCCAAGCATGGAAAATGATCTTCAAGCCAGCAAATACATATCAACATGTTAGATGGAAGTATCGTACTGATTTGGAGCAACTTCAAGCATCTCTATATAAAGTGATCTTGTACTTCATGTCAATCAAAGCTTTCTTCACCTTCTCCACTCTAAAAAACCATTAAACTTCAATAGAACTTCTAAATTTAAAAAGAAAGTTAAATGTGCATGATTGTACATGCATATTGTTATTACAAACAAATTCCCATCACTTATAATTAAAAAACTTACTTTATAATAAAAAAAGGTCAATATCACATCTTTTTCATTTTTGTTTTAAAATATCAAGTTTGAAATAAAATATAAAAACAT